CTCTCTCTCTCTCACTCTCTTTATCTCCCTCTCTCTCTCTCTCTTTTTGTGGAATTTGTGGCCCGGATCTATCCGGCCCACAGGCTGCCCAGAAGTTCTCACATGCAACGTTCAGGTTCAGTTCAGGTTGATTACTCTCTCTCCCTCTGATTACTTTGCATCTCTCCCTCTCTCTGTCCCTCTCCAGAAGTTCTCACATGCAAACTCTCTCTTTCTCTTTCCCCCTCTCTCTCTCCCTCTCCCTCTCTCTCTCTATCTCTCACATGCAATGTTCAGGCAGCTCCCCTCTCTCTCTCTATCTCTCTCCCTCTATCTCTCCAAACTCTCTCTCTCTGCTTTTGTCGAATTTATGGGTCGGATATATCCAGTCCACAGGCTGCCCACAAGTTTTCACATGCAATGTTCAAGTTCAGTTCAGGTTCCTTACACTCTCTCTCCCTCTATCTCTCTATTTCTCTCTCTCAGCTTTTGTTGAATTTGTGGGCCGGATATATCCGGTCCACAGGCTGCCCATAAGTTTTCACATTTCTGGGCAGCCTGTTTACCGGATAGATCCGGTCGAGATTCCACGACGTAAGGGAGAGAGGGAAAGAGAGAGAGAGAGATGGAGAGACAAAGTATTATAAGCATCAATATTTCAAGGTAAACACGTGCCTTGCAATATTGATGCTTATAATAATTTCTCTACAACGCTTTGGGTCCCACACACAATCGTCTTCACAACTTTGACCCTCTCTGCTCCTCTAAAGAGGATCCATGCGAACTTTTACATCGATCCGCCCGCTTTGAAGTTGTCGGATGGTACACCACCCCCACTGACTGACCCGCCAGCACCCGCGCCGAGAACAGTGCAGGGTAACAGAAACGTCGTGGGCGCAGGGTTGGTGTACGATCAACCCGCTTTGGAGTTGTCGGACGGTACACCACCCCCGGTGACTGACCCGCCAGCACCCTTGCCAAAAACAGCGCAGGGTAACAGAAACGTCGTGGGCGCAAGGTTGGTGTACGATCACATGATAGTCGAACGCTGACTGACCCGCCAGCACTCGCGCCGAGAACAGTGCAGGGTAACAGAAACGTCGTGGGCGCAGGGTTGGTGTGCGATCAAATTATAGAAATGATGAGATAGAGAGGAGCCACATTGTTAACATGACAGGTGCAGACCCTCAGGAGCCACATTGTTACTAGGTGATTTTGGGGGGCCTTCAAAGGGCAGAGAAGGCCGACCTCATCTCTCTCCCTCTCTCTCTCTCTCTCTCTCTCTCTCTGGCAAAATCAGCTAGTAACAATGCGGCTCCTGAGGGCCCGCTGTTATGTTTCGTTGTTGCCGGTAACTTGTCCATAGGATAGATCCGGACCACATCAACAAGACTTGAACTTCAAGGCCCCGCAACATTATTTGGGATTATGAAACTTCTCCCCCACATTGAACCCTCGCAACATTATTTGGGGTAACCGCCCACATTGAAGCCCCACAACATTATTTGGGGTAACCGTTATGAAACTTCTGCCCCACATTGAAAACAGCATGGTGTACTGGGAGGTGTACCTTACATTGTATGTCGGATACGTCCTTGACATAGGTATTGGCGGTGCCCCACATCGAAAACAGCATGGTCTTCCCTGCATTTCGTTGCTTATCAAGGGTGTACTGAGAGGCTTACCTTATATTTGTATGTCGGATACATCCTTGACATAGGTATTGACGGTGCATTTCACTGCTTATTAAGGGTGTATTGGTATTGACGGTGCCCCA